TGATTCATTTTCACCCCAAGTGGATATTTTTCATTTCCCTGCAGGAACACAGCAGCTATACTTTGACAGTAGAAGCAAGAGACGGCAATGGACAAATAACAGATAAACCCGTAAAACAAGCCCAAGTTCAGATTCGTATTTTAGATGTCAATGACAACATACCTGTAGTGGAAGATGAAATGGTAACTATTATTTTTATAATAAATGTATCTACTTTTCGTATTTTAATGCTACCTAAGAATATATCACTTAAGTTTGTGTTACATTAAAATAAAAATCATGTGTTCATGTTTTGCAGTACGAAGGGATGGTTGAAGAAAATCAAGCCAATGTAGAAGTTATACGCATAAAAGTGTTTGATGCGGATGAAATAGGTTCTGATAATTGGTTAGCAAATTTTACATTTGCATCAGGAAATGAAAGGGGTTATTTCCGCATAGAAACTGATACTCAGACTAATGAAGGAATTGTGACCCTAATTAAGGTAAGTACTTAAGGTTCAAACTGGAATGGGAGAAGTTGGTGCAGAGGTGGAAACTGATGCATTTTGAGTCCCAAACACTTAAAGTGCTTTGTATAGTCAATTAACTGACACCACAATTTTTTGAGATGGGAGCCATCTTTAGTAGCCCAAGTTCTGTGGTTAGTAAGTGGTTCAAATTCAGATCAGGGGACTCAAATCCTCACCTGACAGCATGATACCAGCATCATTATTACTTGGCACACTTCCAGTTTGGCTTGCAGCCTGTACCTGACTAGAGCATTCACACTTATGAACTCTTGTCTCTACTGAGGGTCCCCCGAATTACTCTCTTATTTGATCTACTTAACAGTAAAAGCAAATCTTATATTTAACATCTAAAAACAAAAGCTGTAATAACTTGATAAAGCCCTAATTCAGTTGACCTCCTACATAAGGAAAAACAGTCACTGAGTGATAAATGATAGAAGTGTTAGAAGTATTCTCAATGACCCATGGTAACCAAAAGGGATATATTTATTTCTACTAAAGGAGACATGGACAAAAAGTAGTAAAATTAATGACCAAAACAGATTGAGAAAATGATAAATTTATGGTCTCAACTGTATAAAGAATGGCTCCTAGTTATAAGGGCAATAGAGATAGCAAATCATCACATGAGAAAGTCTCAGCTTTATTAACAAATGAGTTTAAAATCTTTAATGTTATTAAAAATAGCAGAAATGGAAATGATAAATACAGAGGGTGTCAAAAAATGTATACACATTTTAAGAAAGGAAAACTGTATGAAAATTGTAATGCTCAATATATACTGATAACAAAAGATGAACACAAGTCATGTTTGACTTCTGCAATTACAAGAGTTGCTCAAAGTGGTTACCATCAGCGTCCAGACACTTCTGATTACGACAAACTACTGCTTAAGCAATGTTGACCAAAGTGTCCACTTGCATATATTTTTTTGGCACCCCCGGTATTTTGAAAGTTGTAAAAAATAAAGGTGTATGCCCTCATACATTGCTCTTGATGCTGGAAATTTTTCCTTCACTTTGGGTTGTTATGGCTATGTATAGAAAACACTATGAAACAGCTTTTGTTGCCCCCATACTTAGCTCATTTATTTTTAAGATTGTCTTGACATTCCATGGTCTTTGAATACTAATGACATTGGCTGGAAGGTTTTATTTCTCATCCAGCATCCATTATGCCATCAAAACAAGCACATCAAGTGCAAGAGCAACCTAAAAAAAAAAAACTTTCATGAGAATTCTGTAATTACAAAGAGTATATTCTCTAGTCATTTTCTGTTGTGTCCTTGTCCCAATACTATAGTGACTCATATAAAAAAGGGGGGCAGGAGAAGTTGTTATCCGTTCAGAACTCCTGGGTAAACAAATTTTTTAATAGATTATCCAAAACCAAAAGTGAATAGCTTGTAATTCATGTAAACACATGTACAATATTTAATGTTATACTGAAGAAACAAGTGGTAATAATGCATCTAAATGATCAGGGCCACAAGAAATAAAAAGCAACAGGGCTTAAATAAACTTTGACAAAGTACTTTTTTTACTACTAGAATATAGCTTAACAGAAGAAATCTAAATTGTATAAAAATGTTCAGAGCAGTATTAATTATATTTAGAAATTGCAACAGGCGGCCGAGTAGCTCAGTTGGTTAAGAGCTCACTCAACAGTGCGAGCTCTGAGCAACAGGGTCGCCGGTTCAATTCCCAGCCTGAGCTGAGCTGCTGCTGAGCTGCCAACAGGTGGCAGGGTGGCTCAGCTAAAAAAAAAAAAAAAATTTTTTTTCAAATAGTGTGTCTAGTAGTAGAAAGGCTAAGTAAAGTATCTGTAGTACCCTAGAAATGTTTATAAAAAAGAAAATGGACAAATTGGAACATAGAATATAGATACAGTGATAAACTGATTACATCAAACATAGTTTATTAATACCACATGCACAAAGAACAATATTTAGAGGAAGGTTAATCTTTTGTGGCATTAATAGCAAACCAGATATTAATAGATATACTGAAAAGGAAGAGAGTAGGTTTTTTGTTTAAACAATTTAAAAACCCCTGGGTTTAACAAAGTTAAATAATTGTCCTCAGGAGGCCTCAGTTTTTTTATTGCTAATGCACAGTGAAAGCATATATTAGGGGACAGCTGGTAGTGCCACCACTTCTGTAGCCTTTTCACAAACCCATGAAACACATTTTAAAAGATACTAAATTATACTAAATTTTAAATTTAAAAATTACTTCTAATTATAAAAAATAAAAGTATATACATATTTTTAAATGATTTTGACCTTCAAAAAAGTTAACTGGGGATGTTTCCTAATCATTCTTATTAACATTTATGAATATCCAAATTGACAGATTTTTTTAATTGCATATTGCCAATATGAGTTGGAATAATAAGTGTTGCTGTATTTCCCACTTGTTAAATTATTGTATCTAGCACGAAAACCACACGTGTGTACGTGTGTGTACCCTGTGTGTTCTAATTGTTTTCTCTTTTGAAAGAATTCCCTTTGATTTTGCCTTTCTAGGAATTAGATTATGAAGAAATGAAGCATCTTGATTTAAGCATTGTTGTCACTAATAAAGCACCTTTTCACAAATCAGTTAAGAATAAATACAAGCCTACATCTATTCCCATCAAAATAAAGGTGAAAAATGTGAAAGAAGGCATTCATTTTAAAAGCAGCACCATCTCCGTTCACACTAGCGAGAGCATGGAAAAATCAAGCCTAAGCCAAGTAATTGGAAAATTTCAAGCCTTCGATGAAGACACTGGACAACTAGCCCGTGTAAAGTAAGACAGAGTTATGAATATATTTTCTCATTTCAAATTATCTTCAATGCCTATTTTCAAAAAATCATAATGAAATTGGAACACTTCATTACTTCCCACCCAGCCTTATACCCCCCCCCCCCCAATGGTCTGTAGATTCCCAGAGTTGTACTTGCAGCGCAGAGGCAAGGAGAAATTTCCCCAGACCTGCCCTCCACCACCTGAGTATGAGGCAGAGGCTGGGTCCCTCACCTCAAAACACTTCGGGCTAGGGAAGACTAACAAGCAACAAAGAGAAAGCTCAGAAAGAAACTTGCTAAAATCGGTCTTATTTCCTGAAAGAGTATTCAAAATAAGAAAGCAGAAAATAAGTGTTATTGCAGATTCCACTTTACAGAAGTTTGGTTAAGAGAAGTAGTTGCATAATGTCTTTTAATGTGGAGAAACCAGTTTCATTTGCACATAAATCTTGGAAATGAATCTTCATTTAAACCATGCTATTTGGTTCAAGGGTTGACACACCTTTTATGTTTGTCTGGGTCATGATGACCTTTACTCAATACATTTGAGGACCTACTAGATGCTGCCACTGGTAGAAAGGACTCAGTTGTGCCTACTTTATAGCGACACCTTAGTTTTGCATGATATGTTTAAATTTTCAAAGTAAATTTACATGTTAGATCTCAGAGCCACGCATGGAAAGGCAGCTCTCTACAGAACTATTATTTATGGAACTCAGTCACAGCTATTACATTGAATTTTAAGAAGTCCCCCCTGCCATCCAGACACAGCCTGGTTTCCTGCTGTCATTCAGAGTTTGTTTGCTTGACTGTCCTCATACCTGGGTAGAGACACATACTTCAATGTCCCTGGGTGCCAGCACTTCATAAAACATTATATTTACATGAATCGTTGACCGTAGAGAAAATGGAAATGTAAAGAAGCTTTTCATCAACCTCTTTCTTTTTAGAGACTCTTAATGGAATTCATCAGCCAATAGTAGCAAATAACTGTTCCCCAAAATAACATTAACAGAACTTCCTCTGTGTTTCTGCAATGTCTAAGTGACCCTTTTTGCCCACCATGCCTGCAGGAACCAGCCCTGCTTACCTTGAGTTTGTAGTCTAGTTTTTATTTCCACATCTCTGAACCTAACAAGGCATCCTAACTGAATCCGCCAAATTGAAGAATGCACTATATGATCATTCCTCACCGCTGTCCACTAGAGACTTATTCGTCCTAATAATCATCCTCCAATAATACTGTAGCTATCTATGAAACTTCTATTCCCTCCCTATTTAAATTTGGCTGCTGTTTTTATTAAGGGTGATAAATACATCAAAAGATTATGTGTTCTGCTTGGAACAATAATGCACCATGTTTATTTTTCAAAAGTATTTTGTTATTTTGCATGCAATTACAGAACTTTAAGAAAGATCTTAAAGATCAATTCAGACCTATTTTACAGATAAAGAATGGGATGCACAGCTAAGTCAAATAATTTTCTCATGTTCACCTAACTAATTAGTGGTTTCGATTTAGAAATGCTGACAAGGACAGCAGAAGAATTATTCCCTTAACTTTATCATAATGCTATTTTACTAATTATTCATGTGCATCAATTGTTTATGGATATTTGACATTTGGACATGACACGAGCTGCTCTCCTACTTTGAATGGTGTCTAATTTTCACCACAGAGAAGAAAAGAAAATTCTTTAAATGATATCTAATACACAACATTCCATGTGAAATGTGATCCTTATTACTAAGACTCTTTCCCTTATAAGTATGAATGTGGGAAACCATTGACAGCAACTAAGTTCAGGCTTTAAAATTCCAGACATGAAATTCAGAAATACTCGTGAAAAGCCAAATGTATTGTCATTTACTAGTAAAACATTAAAATGCAAAGATTTAGATAAAGTGTATAATTGGAAATTTTTAAATAGAACTATAAACAAGCATTGCTATAAATTAGCCACTCATTTTCATGTGCCCAGATAGCCAGTTAATAGGAAATAAATTATCAATCTGATTAACCCATATATATTCATGTTTGGCTTATATTTATATTTGGCTATATTTAAATTCTGTGGTATTAAATTACATACATTTCTGAAGACATAATGTGAATGTTCTTGCCTCCCCCAAAGTTATCTCTTTCCACACTAATTCTCCTTGCTTTAAAAGGAAAGAAACCCAGATATCACTTCATCAGCATTGTTTTCACTTTTTTTTTTTTTTTTTTTAAGATTTTTTATTGGGGGAATGGGAACAGTGCTGGGGAATTGGGGGAAGGGGAACAGACAAGTTGCTGTCGTCTTGTTCTTCAATCTAGTTGTGGAGGATGTTGCTTCACTGGCCCAAGTTGGCACCATCATTGCGCTCTTCCCGGGTGAGGCAGATCAGTCGCCGGCTTCTGGACGACCGCTCACTGCGGCTGCTGGCCGCTCACGCTGGCTGCTGGCTACACACGGTACCCATGGCAACCCACTGCCACAGGGGCTGCAGCCTACGCCATCGCCGGCGACTCACAGCAGCCCAGCTCCAGTTTGAGCTGTTGTTCAGCATCTTAGCTGTGGAGGGCAGTGTCACTGGCCCTCATTTGTGGGATCCGAACCGGGGCCCTCTGGCGTCCCAAGCCAGTTCTTAACCATCGCGCCACTCGGCCGGCCCCTGTTTTCACTTTTAAACATTTCTAGCTGAAAGAAGCATATTGCTCCTAACGATCCCAAAATGTTAACGTACTTCCATTTAAATCAGTCATTGATTTTTAAAATTGATATTTTTAAGTATTGATAACAATAAGCAATCGAATATAAGACTACTTTTCTCTACCAGTTCTTGTTGGGTAACTAAGTTATTCTCCAAAGCTTTACCCCAAATTTAAGGGAGAAGAGATTGAAAGCTGGAGGACAGACTGCAGAGGACCTTGCAAACCTCCTGGGTTAGTAGACAACAGATGGTCACCCTAGAATATACAGAGGGTGCCCAAAAAAGTGTACACATTTTATGAAAGGAAAAAACTATTAAAATTGTAATAATATATACCGATAGTAAAAGATGAATACAAGTCACCTTTGACTAATGTGCTTACAAGAGGTGCTGAACGTGGTTACCATCAGCGTCCAGACACTTCTGATTACAGTGAACTACTGCTTGAGCAACGTTGACCAAAGTGTCTCTACTTGTATACATTTTTTTGGCACTCCCGGTGTATCTTGGGTACGTTACAGTATTGAGGAAGGTTCCAAAATAAGTGTTATATGCAGTAAGAAAGGAGGTTTTCGGAGAGTGGCAAGAAATTAAAAACATTTCAAACTAATGCCTGTAACAAGAACATATACAATAAAGCAAGGATTAAGCATGAAAGAGTTGTAGATATTAGAGATTCTCAGTTTATCGAGAATTCAAAATTAATTTTGTTTGTTTTATAACAGATATGCCAAATTGGAAGATAAAGACAGTTGGGTCTCTGTGGATTCTGTCACGTCTGAAATTAAACTTGTAAAAATTCCTGATTTTGAATCTAGATATGTTCAGAATGGTACATACATTGTAAAGATTTTGGCTATATCAGAAGGTAAGTTATTAAATCGATATTTTTCTTGGTTATATGTATTTTGATGATTTTTTTCCAACATCAGAGACCTTCATTTTGATCTTGTAGAAAAATCACATCTCACCAATGGATAAATCTTTACATTTCTACTTACGTAGTATATTAAAAGACATGATCTGAATATGAAAATATATCTAGGATAGGAAGTGTCCTAATTTGTTAGTTCCCTCTTACTAAAATGGCAACAGAATTCAAACTATGTTCATTGTCAGCGATATAACCAGAATATTCCTACTTTTTCTTTCTTTTTTTTTTTTCTTTCTTATTTTTAAGATTACCCTAGAAAAACCATCACTGGCACCGTTCTTATCACAGTTGAAGACATCAATGACAATTGTCCCACACTGGTTGACCCAGTGCAGAATATCTGTGATGACGCGCAGTATGTGAACGTGACCGCAGAGGACCTGGACGGTTACCCCAACAGTGACCCTTTCACTTTTGTCATCGTTGACAAACCAGCTGGAATGGCAGAGAAATGGAAAGTAGTACACAAAGAAAGTAAGCAAAATCGTTTGGCTACATATTTAAATATTAAACATGATAGAAATCTAAAATCTTTGTAATATAGGATTTTTAAAAATATATTTCCAATGCAGTTTTCAAAGGCATTTATAAAATAAGGCATAGTGTCTTTTATCTGGCTATAATAAATATCCCATTTGGAATAACAAAAGAGGGAGAAAAGAAAAATAACCTATTGGGTTGTTGGAAAAGTCATGACACATTTTTGCAACAAAAAACAGAAAAAATACGTCATGACTTTTCCAACAACCCAATAATATCTTCAATCTAGCTGGGTATTCTCTAAATTGCACGTTGTGTTGTCTCATAAGCTGAGCAATACTATGCTTGTCTAAGTACAGTAATCAGAGTAGGTGCCTTCTAAAAATCTCAAAGTATGATAACATTTCTATTAAAAATAACATTTATTCATCCAGCCACTCTGCCGGCCCATCATATGTATTGTCTCATTTCATCTTTATCCCATAACATTATTCCCTCATTACAGGTGAGGAAACCTTGGCTTAACTAGCTTAAGTGGTTTGTTCACGCTCATAAAGCTGACGAGCGATGGGTAAACATGAAAAAGGGTCCGTCTGATCCCTCCATGCCAGGTGGCAATGTGCCTATAGCCACATCTTGGACATATCCCCCTTGTTAATATGAGCTTTGGGGTGTTTTTCAGGGCAGTTTTGAATATACGAAAACCTATCCAGAGTATTATTTTGTTCTAAATAATTAGTGTTCATTTCAGAAAAGTTTTAAATATAGTACCCAAGTTCTTCTTAACTTACAGGCTTATTGTTATTTTAAGCCTAACAAATTTTTACAACCACTTTAAGAGGCTTTGAATAATGTTAAAGATGAGGATGGGTAATATGGGGTTCATTATGCTCTTGGATTGTCTGTTTGAAAATTGCCTTCATAAAATTTTTTAAAGAAATAGTAAAATAAAGGTCATTCAATGAAAATGTCATTTAATCGCCACTTGTTTTGTCACTGTATTCCCAGCACATAGAATTCGGTAGACCACACACATTTGTTAAAATTTATCATCATAAAAAGTAAGACAGGTCCAAATTCAATTCTTTGCTATTAACCTGCATATATGGAGTATCTGGACTAATTTTATCAAGCACACAGAGTGCATTCAATAGAGACATTAGGGAAGAATAAAGTTTCTCAGTGGAGCTAAATATTATTAGCAATTAAAGGATGTATTCTATAATTCAGTCTTGCCCCTTCCTTGGTCATCACTCATTTTTATTTCCTTTGGCCTCTTACCCTTGTAGGTACCAGTGTGTTACTGCAACAAAATGAACAGAAGCTTGGGAGAAGTGAAATTCAGTTCCTGATTTCAGATAATCAAGGCTTCAGTTGCCCTGAAAAGCAGACCCTTAAACTCACCGTTTGTAAGTGTCTGGACGGCAGTGGGTGTGTAGAAGCTCTGCGTGACTCCTATGTTGGCCTGGGACCTGCAGCCATTGCACTAATAATCCTTGCCTTTCTGCTCTTGCTGCGTAAGTATTTTAAAGCCACTCTAGCTCTTTTAGTGATTAAGGGCACTACTAGCGTCTATTACTACAGTCGTCATTGATTTCTTTGCAGTGTTTCTTTAACCCCGCTCGAACACTTGAGGGTGAATGGGAAATTAATGGATCATTGATAAATTCACCAAAGGCTATTGTAGCACTCCTCAGAATTTTGTTGTATAAAAATGTGTCATTTCCTGCTTTAAATAACCCAGGTTATTATACACGCTCTTCAACACCCTTTTAACATAACCCTGAGTTCCCATTTTGATAAGCTCTGTCAGGGAGAATATTGTCTCATCTTCACTTCCCAGTGCCTAGAACAGGTCCTTGCCCATAGGTGGTTCTCAGGAAAGATTTGTTGCGTGAATTTGGATTCTGGATACAAGGTTCTTTTCCAAACTCATCTTCTTCCCATCGATCCTTGCTTCGCACATTCAGCTTGTCAGAGCTCTGCCTCCCCATGCCCTCTGCTTGGCCTGCCCCTTCACCTAAGCAAATAGTAGTGAGACCCTCTGAGCACGTCCCTGCATGCCCTCCAAAGACCTCATGAAAGCACAACGTACTGCAGCCTGGGGGCTTGTGGAATACCGCTCCCTTTGACCACTGAACGTGGGCAGAGGGCCGCCTCCGAGGCAGCCTGAGCTATCGCAGTGACAGGAGGAGTTTGTCAATGCCATTCGTGGATGTGCGGTTGAAAGCACGGCACTCAACAGTTTACAGTGCACTTTATACCATCATCTCTATTTTATGGCTGAGAATACAGACATAGAATACAGACATATAACAGGAAGTGACTTATCTCAGTGTACCAAGTTTGTAGGGAGGGGCTGGGACTACTTTTACCTGGAGATTCTTTGCACTGCCTGCTCATCTCCGATTCCCCAGGGCCTACAGTGATACTGGGCACATGGTAGACACATGATAAATATTTATTGAATTTCTACAAATTGTTGAATTGTCACTGGCTGATTTCAATCTTATTACTCACAGTAGCTATAGGACTGTGCTGTCAACTATTTTACATAAAAAAGGAATCTAGGGAGTATTAGTTCGCCTTCGGAAGCTGCCAAATGAGAGTGTCAATAAAACAGAATTTGGGGCGGGCTGCCTGCAGGGGTAGTTAATTCTTTACTGATCAAGAGGCCAGCATTGGCCTTCACTTCCTCCTGGAGGTAGAATAAAATTTAAGGAGGGAGCTCTGAAATTTTATTGAATTCTAGATAAAATGTTATATCTATTCTAAGGGTTTTTTAGGTAGAATCGTTTTTAGAAAATAGTACTCAAGTAATTCAGAAGTTAATTTGAACCTCAGTGAATCATGCCGTCTGCCAAATTCTACTCTAGTGTGAAGTGGTGAAGTATTACAGAAGTTCCAATGTTCTAGAATATTGAACATACTAAAACTTTTCTACCCCTAGGAGCTTTTGTTCTTTTATACACACAAACACAAAACGGTGAATTTTCTCATATTAAAAATTAAAGTGGTTTAGAAAATTGTCTGTACGTTGATTTTGATGATTTGGGTGCTATCGAATCCAGCCTTGGTGTTCCACTCAGTAACCACACACGGCCCCCTTGTGATGGATGAGGCCTCCGAATCTGTTAAGACCCCCTCATTCCTGCCGTTAGACTTGGGTATGACTCTCCCAAGACAAGCTTGGTAAGGTTGGAACAAGGTGAAGAAAAGGAAAATAAAACTAGGGCTGTAAACAAGTGAAGACTGAAATTCAGGAAGTGATACGCAAATTCCAAAATTATGCAACATAAATTTAGAAGTATGTGTGGACTGACCTTCTCTGTACTCCATTTTGTTTCTCTTTAGTTGTACCACTTTTACTGCTGATGTGCCACTGTGGAGAGGGTGCCAAAGGCTTTACCCCCATACCTGGCACTATAGAGATGCTACATCCTTGGAATAATGAAGGGGCGCCACCTGAAGACAAGGTCAGATAAGCAGATATCCATGAAACTTGTCTCCTTTTCCGATTTTAAAGGGGCCTGAGGAAGTGTTTCTGACATTTTAGGTCATGAGAGAGTAAAGTGGTCATTATAGATTTTATCCACATGCCTTTGAATGATAACATATTTTGAGTTTGTTGCCAGGGCCGAGTTGAGGTGGTTTTGCTCTACTGTGACCGATCCTGTGTTACAGAGAACGTAGAAAAAGGGTCAGGTAGTGACACAAGGAGTGTAGAACAAAGGTTGGAGAAGGCAAGTGTGTGTAGGAACTCAGGATGCAAATTTTTGTCCCAGTGCTAATGGCAGTCTTTCACAAAATGTTTTTACTTTTCCGTTTCCCTCAATACATAGGGTTGGCAGAGGTAAGCCCACCACCCCATGACAGTTGCAAAATGTTGCAAAATCTCTTCTTCTGCCTACTTAAATAACCATCTGGACTGCCTCTTTATCGTATCTTCACCCTGGGTCTCATCACCATCTGCAGTGAGCATCATGTCTAATAGAATATGATTGAGTATCGAGTATCAGAGAACTCAAGAGTGATGGAGGCCTAAAGATAAATGTGGGAAGTCCAGGACCGATATGATTCTTCCACAGCGTGGCGCCAGGCTCCTTTTTCCGTGGTGTTCCTTCATAGATGAGCTCCATTGCCTGCTGTCTTCATGCTGCAGACACTAACTGCTGTCTCCACATTCCACAGAGCAGATAGGTTTCAGAAAAGTGAAGGACCACCCCAGAAGAACACTTCCCAAAAGTTGCATACTCCGTTTCTGCTTGAAATCGCATTAACCGGAACTTAGCCTGGTTGCTATTTCTAGTGGCAGTTGAGGCTTGAAAATGTAGTCTTTATTTGGGACAGCCGTGTGTCCAGCTCAAACAAAAAGAACGGTTCTATAACCATAAAAAAGGCATTAAACTCGAGAGGAAAGTTGAAATGCCATTGGTGCCAATAGAGTTAATGAGCTGAGACCATATTTAGATAATTGTTGTTTTCTCCTTGGGTTATCATCACCTAACAAAACGAGCTCTTCATCAGACTCAAATAGAAGTTTTTCAACCCAAAATATGTCTCCTAATTAGCCTCTGTGGAAATAGCTTATTCCCATCACATTCCCAGCTAGTTCAGATCCTTCTGCCAACTAGACTGACCCTCATCCTTCTGACTCAGTTCTCAACTGTGTTTGCTCTCACAGGTGGTGCCATCACTTCTGGCCACGGATCACGGAGAGAGTGTACCCGTAGGCAGTGGAGTAGGAGGCGGAGCAGTGAAGGAAAGCACCATGAGAGGAAGTAGCCCTGCTTCCTTTGTCAAAAGGCTGCATGAGATGACTGAGGTGGACGGAAGATGGGAAGAGCACAGAAGGCTGCTTCTTGGGGGGGCCACCCAAGCTGCAGGGACAACAGGAGCAATCATAGGTGGCGAAACCATAAGGTCCAGAAGAGCCTCAGGGGCTTCCAGAGACATGGCTGGAGCTCGAGCAGCTGCTGTTGCAGTGAATGAGGAATTCTTAAGAAGTTATTTCACTGAGGTAAGGATTGGTTTTTATGTATGGGGGGCGGGGAACATTTACATGTGAATATGGTATTATTAGGGTAGTCATTCCTTGGATATAGAGGGGACTTTATTACTTTTTTAAGAGAACACCTATAAGTGATCAGGAAAGAGAGAACGAGTCAATCAGCTAAACTATGTGGTGATCACAAGTGATGCCACAATCTTACGCCTCGCAAAGGCTATTTCTCACATTCATGTTTTTGCCATTTGATGCATGTCTGTTCTTCTCCATGTTGTCTTCATTCCAAGATGCCAAGAGAGCAGATTATAACTGGGAAGCCGCCATCCATGGGGTGCAGGGAACATAGCAATGCAGAACCAGGCAATAACTCCTAAGGCCACTGCCTTTTTTTTGCACTCAGGTTTCATTGGCCAGAGCAAGTCACGTGACCAAGCCAAATGTCAGTGGGTCAGAAAGTACAATCCCTCTGTAGCAGCAAACTTGAGAATATGTGACCTAAAAAAACACAATCTATTTTGTGCATTCAAATTTTGCCTTCTGAATCAGAGTACTTGGCTTCACTGTTGATGTGCTTCACAAAAAATTAGGAGGAAAGTGGGCCAGCTGAGTAGCGCGTTGGTTAAGAGCTGGCTTGGGACGCCAGAGGGCCCCGGTTCGGATCCCACATATGAGGGCCAGTGACACTGCCCTCCACAGCTAAGATGCTGAACAACAGCTCAACCTGGAGCTGGGCTGCCATGAGTCGCCGGCGATGGCGTAGGCTGCAGCCCCTGTGGCAGTGGGCTGCCATGGGCTACCGTGTGTAGCCAGCAGCCTTGGTGAGCGGCCAGCAGCTGCCATGAGTGGCTGTCCAGAAGCCGGTGACTGATCTGCCTCGCCCAGGAAGAGCACAATGATGGTGCCAACTTGGGCCAGTGAAGCAACATCCTCCACAACTAGACTGAAGAACAAAAGGACAGCAACTTGTCTGTTCCCCTTCCCCCAATTCCCCAATAAAAGTCTTTAAAAAAAAAATCAGGAGGAAAGTTTCAGGACAGATGATCTGATATAGTCAGGCAGCTCGTGTCTGGAATTAGGAATTAGAAGCACGGCTAGATGCCTTTCTGCAGAACGAGGCTCATGTGTCCCATGGACAGAGTCCGAATGTCAGGCGTCGGAAGGACACGAGGGAAGTGAGGGGATGGACTTCCATGGAGGCCAATTTATTTCTGTTCCCTTTCTTCTAAATGGTTGGAAATTACCAGAGTGCTTTCCCCACTTAGTTTCCTTCCATGCTCCCTTCCTTTATACCATTAGCTTGAGGGGGAGATATTGGTGTGTCATTGTCAAGGAAAACCACTTCCAATCGCCCCTTTTCTGCCTCACTGGTGCCCATCCTGGTGCCCTGTTTGTTTTATTTTGATATGATTTTCCTCTCTGCTGTAATCCTGCTCCATTCAGTCTTGGTTATATATGTGTGTGCAGCTTGTAATTTGGAAATCATTTCAAACTTACCAAAAAATTGGTAGGAATAATGGACATTTTGAACTCCTGTATACTTTTTACCCAGATTACCCAGTTAGTCACACTTAGCCACATGTGCTACTTGCTTTCCCATTCTCTCTCTTGCACACGCGCACATCCTCTTACATTACCATGATACAGTGAACAAATTGAGAGATTTAAGGGACACATTCCGTATTTCATTTAGCCACGTATCACAATAATGTCTTTTTATAGTCATTGTTTTTCCTGTCCCGGACCCAATCCAGAGTCCTTCATTCCATTTAGTTGTCATGACATTTTAGCCTGTAACGGTCCCCTCTGCCTTTTTTTATCTTTCACAATATTAATGTATTTTTTTTAAGAATATAGGCAAGTTGTGTTGTAGGATGTCCTTCAGTTTGTGTCTCTCTAAAGTTTCCTTGCAGTTAGACGCTGGGCATGCATTTGAGGCAGGAATACAGTCTTGTTCTCACATGAAGTTTTGTCACTAATTATATGCCTGTTTTTATTTTCATTTTAGAAAGCTGCATGTTATACTGAGGAAGATGACAATCACATAGCCAAAGATTGCCTTCTGGTGTATTCTCAGGAAGAAACTGAGTCTCTCCATGGTTCCATTGGCTGTTGCAGTTTTATTGAAGATCTAGATGACCACTTCTTAGATGACTTAGAATTTAAATTCAAGACACTAGCCGAAGTGTGCTTGGGTCGAAACATAGATATGGATATGGAAATGGAACAGAGGCCAAAATCCATGAGAGAAACAAGTCTGAAGGCATCTTCACATTCCCTCTCCGAGCAAACTAGGGTTCATTCAGAAAATGCCTCCTTCTCTGGCAGTAGTCTTCAAGTTCCAAAACCTTTACATGAGGCAAATGCAGAGACAATAACTCAGGAAATAGTCGCTGAAAGGTCTGTGTCTTCTAAGCAGGGTCAAAACGTAGCTACACCCCTCCCTAACACATTGGCTTCTGGTAATGTTATAGTGACAGAAACTTCCTTTGCCACAGGCTCCACTGTGCCACCTCCCAGCACTGTGGTCCTGGGCCCCAGACAGCCACAGGGCCTTATTGTGACAGAGCGGATATACGCGCCAGCGTCTGCCTTGGTAGATCAGCATTATGCTAATGAACATAATGTCAGGGTTACAGAGAGAGTAATAGAGCCTAATGGGGGCATACCTGGTCCTCTGGAAGGCACTCAGCATCTGCCAGATGGACATTATGTTATGGTGAGGGAAAGAGAGAGGTTCCTCGCCCCAGGCTCCGGGGTGCAGCCCACTCTGGCCATGCCCAGTGTAGCAGTAGGACAGAATGTGACAGTGACAGAAAGAGTGCTAACCCCTGCTTCCACTCTGCAGTCCAGTTACCAGATTCCTGCGGAAACCTCTATGACGGCCAGAAAGACCATGGTTTCTGGAGCTGGCGTCCCTGGCCCTCGGCCCAAGTTTGGTTTAGAAGAGGCTGGTCATTCTAGCTCTACTCTAACCACATCTTCTACCAGAGTCTCTAAGCATAGCACCGTACAGCATTCCTTCTCCTAAACAGCCAGCCACAGTCTGACCCAGAGTTCAACGAGCAGTAACTGATTTCATGTTTTCAATGGTCCTGCCCTTTCATGAGTCTTACAGACATATGAGGCACCTACACCAAATGTTTCTCGGTCACTAATAGACAACGGACCTCACTGTCTCAGCTTCCAGGGGTGCCTTCAGAAATGTTCTAGGAAGTACCAAGGGCATAAAGATGATGCTGTGTCATAAGCGCCTTTTAGTGAGTTCTGGCCAAACAATATTCACAAAGCAAGTTAAACAGAGAGCGAATCTGGCTTCTGAGAATTTACCAAATTAACAGAATATCCAGTTCATCAGCCGTGCAGTAGAGGCCCCCCATGAACTGACTGGGCCTCTCTGCATACCATCTTAACATTTAGCATTGCTGTTCTATAGTTCGTACTTCACTGCACCTAGCAAATTGTCAACACTCACTTATCCAAAGATACATGCAGTCTGGGTGACCAGTTTTGTTTGTTTTCCCTAAGACTAGAGGCCTTTCAATCTGTGTTAGAGTGATTGACTTTTAGAACATTGACATGGTAATGTCATGTAACTGTGCCTGTAATATGTGTGTATGATCATGTGTGTGTGTTGTATGACCTTAAAAATAGCATTATACCTTCCCTTTGTCTCTCGCTAATTATGAAAATATTCAATACTTCCAATTCGGTTGAATAATCCAGGGAAAAATTCATAAATATAAAAATACTTTACTTTTTATAGTAATTATATACTATTTATAAAACCTCAGGATATATCATCTTCTAATTTAGTACAGCTAAATTAACCACTAGACTGTATACACTGCAAAGAACCATGCCTATTTCAATGCTAGCCTCTGTGCCTAATGTGTGTGGGTGCCAAATCAAGATTTGTGGGATTAAACTGAATTTTATAAGCCTCTCTCTTTTTTTATATTTTCAAAGCATATTGAAAGGCCCTATAATTTCCATAGTTATGAGTTTGAAATTTGATTTTATTCTGTGTCTCAAGGTCATTGATGAGCTGCTCATGACTCACTACGTGTTAACTATTATGTAATGGACATGAATTTGTACACACACACACACCCCCCCGCCCTCTTGAAAAAGTGATTTGGGTGTTCTGACCAAATTGATTGTATTTTTATTGCTCCTTGAAAAAAGAATCCATTTCAAGTTTCAAAGTATATGTGCACATCAGTAACAATTTATGTAAATATTCTTCACAACAAAATAATGTTCATAAATTGAAAAGCCTATGTAATTCGTGACATTTCAAGATATTTTACTTAGGGAACCAAATCTTTTTGTAGCGCATTTATAGAAATATTGTTGAATTGTGTTATGCAAAAGGTTGATACTTTTTGCTTCCACTGACTGGGCAAAAGGCAAATATTTTTAGACACCGTAACTCCATGGCCAAGATGAAGGTCACTTCCAAGATCTACAATTTTTACTGTCTATTTTGTAAGTGTTGTTACTTTTTTTTTTCAATGTAGACTTAATAGGTTTTTGCCAAGTATGCAACAGGAGTATCACTGCTGTGTGAAATGTGAAAACAACCTAGGTACTTTGAACAAACAAAACTTGGTCTTAAACTTCCTCCTTGGGCTGGCTTGAAAACCCTAGCCTGTTGCGTGTGTAGAGCATAATCACATTTTCTAAATGGTTTTCTTTGTTCCCAAAGGGGTGATTTATATTAGTTTTTACATTTGGAGACTATATATTTGTATGTGTATTATCAAAATATTTAAATAAAAATGACCTTTAGAACAACTCTTTGCCCTTATCTTTTTATTGCTCCATCCTATTTTACAAGGACTGTAACTGTTAGAGGAGGAATTAGCACCCTGAAGGCAGATGGTTGTCGACTTTGGTATTTTAATTAGAACTAGTTCCATCTGGCTGGGCTCAGCCCTCTTGGAAGAGTGCATTTCCCTCCCTGAGTAGGGTAGAACACAAGAAGGTCCAGTTAAATTTGAGTTTCACATCAATTTAATGAATAGATTTTTTGTGTGTAAGCATGTCCTGTAGGAAAAATAATTATCTGATATCTGAAATTTCAATTTAACTGGGCACTGTATTTATTTGCCAAGTCCTGTAACTTTGTTCCTAAGGGACTGAAGTTTGCTTTCTGTCCAGAAAGTAACGAGGCATCTGTTGGATTGGCTGAGGAAAGCTTGCACCTCTGACCCAAAGAGTTGAAATCATTCAGCCAATGTTGAAAGCCATTCTTAATTGCTTGTTGTAGTTTACAAGCAAAAAGGTCAGTGTCTACCTATACTATAATGTCACATTAATATTTCATGACACTGGTAAATGACACATCAAGATATTCTAAAGCATGACTTCGGTTATATTTCTGTGACCCCAGGGCTCCCACCCCAAGTGGCACTTGGGAACAACTTTTGGTTAATTTCACGAATCTCTACAGGCTGTATTCCAATCATCAGTACATCAAAAGTTATGTAAGGAGACATTGCTTATCACGTATCACCTAGAAATGAAGTGTTGCAGATAACTTTCAGATAATTAAATCTTACTTCTTTAACATACCAAAATTTCTTGGTTTTACTGTTTTAGTGTAACACAAATCCTCTCTATCATTATTGCTTTGCCTACTTTTTCTATTAATTGCTGAGAGGGTGTTGAAATCTCCAACTGATTGTGGCTTCACCTATTTGCCTTTTAAGTCCTATTTTCGCTTCCCATGATCTGAAACTTGTTATACCTGAATTACTAGATACACATATAGGATTATTGTGTCTCCCAGAAGAATCCACTTTAATCATTACAGAATGTCTTTCTTTATCTGGTTATATTCTTTGTCTTCAAATCTACTTTGCTTAACATTAACATTGCCACACCAGCTCTTTTAGGCTTAGTGTTTGCTTAGTGTGTCTTTGATCAACCGGTCTATGCCTTTATAGTGTGTGTTTCTTGTGAATATATAGATAGGCCTTGCTGTCTTACCCATTTTAACAATATCTGATGTTTAATGGAAGGCTTTTGTCTACCTACAGCAGTAACTAATATGGATGAGTTTAAGCTGAGCATCTTGGTATTTGTTTTCTCTTGGTTCCACCTGCTTCGTTTTTTCCTGCCTTCCTCGTGTGTTGCATGTTCTAGGACTCCACTCTAGTTCCTCTACTGACTTTTTAATGCGAGCATGTCCTTGTGTTTATCTTTTGACTTGGTTGCTCTTGTGGAACTACAACCCAGAACACAATCTCCTGCCCACCTAGAAAAACTCTACAAAGGTCAAAGAGAAAGAAAACTACTGTTGAATAAGTATTAAGCAAGGATGAAATGTGCATCAAAGCCAACCCATAAAGAAATTGCCAAGACAGAAATCTCACCTTTTTGTATAGCGAGGTAG